ATAGTAATGGTTCTTTTCTAAGTGTATAAAATGATAAAAACTCCTGTAATTTTGCATTTTAAAAGGATGCAGCACACATATCTGACTTTGTAATGTTGATTAAAAAACATAGCTCTGACTCCCAAAATGGCTTTATAATGTGATCTTATTTTTCAAAATACTCTCTGTCTCTATGCTGTCTGTGGATATGCACAGGACAACTGCAGGGAAGTTCTCCAAATGTTAATGAAATAGCTGCTGTCTGGTAGGATTTGAAGCTTCCTTCTTTCTATATTTGTCTATAAAATTTCCCTATTACTTGAATTTTCTAGTGAGTATATGTAATTTTTATAATAATCTTAAGTTATTAATTTTAAAAATACGTAAGTATGTAGCATTTCATTTTTTCCAAGTGCACCCAAACATGGCAGGAGGCTTGGGCCTCAGTTCCTTTCCAGTCAAGCCAATCCCTGCAAGCTCAGCGGGTCTCAAGAGCTCACAGAGAGTCTATTTTTGTTCTTCTCTCTTAAAATGGTAATACAAATATGAATTCTTTGTTGTACACCAAAACAGATGGAAATGGTTTTAATTCATTCTGCTTGGAGATTACAGGTGAGTGGGAGCCAATTCTAGTCTTCACGGTGGTGCTTGCAACACCCACAAGAGAAGCATGTTCTTGCTTTGCTAGTGGCTACACACAAAGTATTTAATTTTTCTTCACTACTTCTTTGAATAACATGAGACAGGCTAATAGAGGATGTAAGAAAAACAAATATATGCTTTGTAAATAGATGTTTTAAATGACAACAGCATTCCATTGTTTATGCTGAGCAATTTATTTAGCTTTATAATATGAAAATTAAAATGTTCAAGTAATGCCCACAAATGCCAAATTACTGGATAAATCCCAAGGATTTCTCTTATTTAAAGAAATTTAGTGAACATATTTTCTTTATGGAATAACAGACTAAAAGAATACACTGCCTCCTCAAAATGTAATACACTGATGGCTAAAGATGTCTTTTTAAATGTTCAATTTTCTCATAAACAAAATGACTGTGTTGCCCAGTAACTCTATTGACAAGGCTTTAAATGTCTGCAATTAGCAGGCAGACAGTATTGTAGAGAAGTCCTTGAAAAGATGGTATGGATTACTGAGAGGCAATTCTGCTTTTTAGAAAGAATAACAAGTCTTTGTATAGCCACCAAAGCCACTTTAGACTGCAATTTAAACAAAATAAAGAACTGAGATGAAAAACTGTAACTCTGTTGTAAACTGTCAAAGTCCAGAAGGGAAAACATACAGATACTAGGAGCCTTCCCATGATAAATATTTAGTTATTTTGCTGCAGTTTTAAAATGTATTTTGCTTCCATAAGTATGTGTATAATTAAATGATAGAATACATATATATCTATATCTATATATATCTATATCTATCTATCTATCTGTCTATACACACATCTTTTTTTTTTTTTTTTTTTT